TCTTCAAGTGAGCTTCTATAGAATTTCAGCTTATAATGCTTTCGTAGCATTTACTTCCCTCAAGTGTACCAAAAATTTTCCGTTTTCTTTTTTTTGTTTTGTTTTTTTTTGTGATGGAGTTTCCCTCTGTCGCCTAGGCTGGAGTACAGTGGCACAATCTTGACTCACTGCAACCTCCACCTCCCAGGTTCAAGCAATTCTCCTGACTCAGCCTCCTGAGTAGCTGGGATTACAGGTGCATGCCACCACACCCAGCTAACTTTTCTATTTTTAGTAGAGATGGGGTTTCAGCATGTTGGTCAGGCTGGTCCCGAACTCCTGACCTCGTGATCTGCCCACCTCAGCCTCTGAAAGTGCTGAGATTGCAGCCATGAGCTACCGCACCCAGCCCCATCTTCTCCCTTAGTGTTTCTAAAGTACTTTGTGTATCTATTTATATACTTTCTCATACTTTTTTTTTTTTTTTTTAATCTACAGAGCTTCTTGTGGTCTGGTCAAACCTTCTCATACTCAACTGAAATTGCCTATATTCTGTTTATCTTCCCTCCCAGACTGTGAACTCGTAAAAAGCCAGGGACTTCGCTGTTTATCTCCAACCCCTAGTGAGGTTTGCAGCTCATTTTGTTAAAAAATATCATATAAAATTACCTTAAGCAGGCAAATTGACTGCTTGAGACCAGAGTTTGAGACCAACCTGGCCAACATGGCAAAACCTCGTCTCTACTAAAAATGCAAAAATCAGAAATCAAGTGTCAGGTGTGGAATTTTTCACGTGTGGTGTCATGCCTGTACTTACAAAGTTCTGGATTCTGGAGCACTTCAGATATTGAATTTTCAGATTAAGGAAACTCAACCTGCATTTTAAAATAGCACTTTCGGCTGCACGCAGTGACTCATGCCTGTTGTAACCCCAGCACTTTGGGAGGCTGAGGTTAGGAGTTCAAGACCAGCCTGAACAACATGGTGAAACCCCGTCTCTACCAAAAAATACAAAAATTAGCTGGGCATGGTGGCCTGTAATCCCAGCTACTCGAGAGGCTGAGGCACAAGAATCACTGAACCCAGGAGGCGGAGATTACAGTGAGCCGAGATCGCACCACTGTACTCTAGCCTGAGAGACAGAGCAAGACTCCAACTCAAAATATAAAATAAAATAGGATTTTCATACTAAATACTGCATTGTACTTACAAGCTTAAGATTCCTAACCTCAGCTGGCCCCTCAATGCAGTTCAGCAATCTATCTCATAAATTCTTGGCTTCCTACATTGCCCCATCCCCAAACAACCAAAGCTTTTCAACCCTTTCCCATTATCCTTCAGCTTTCCACCCAACCTCTGCAGTCCTTCTGTATGTGCAGATAAACCTGCTTCACAGACAAAATAGCTCTCAACATTCAAACACTCCTTTTACATTCTGTGCCTGGGAAGGGGCCTCATCCTTAACTGCCTTCCTGTCTCAGAGAAGAGGAGTCACTTTTCATCACCTGCACTCACCTAACAGCCATCCCTACAGCCCTGGACCCCACCCAGTCCCTTCCCCTTCTCTGGAACCTACTCTACCTGTTAGCCTTTCCTTTCTTTATCTTCAGGCTCTCTCTGTCCAGGGATTTTTTTTCCTGTAAGTGTATAAACATGTTCAACTTACTTTTGCCATCCAGGCAACCATCAAAAGCTATACTCCCGCCTCTTCAGTCCCTTTGCTGACCAAAATGGCAATTTATCCAAACTGCTTCACCTAACTCTACTTTCACTAATTTCTCAATCCATCCTAGCTCATCTCTTCTATATCCTCTCCACTAGCCCATGCCTTACTGAACCTACTCTAATTTAGATACCAATGACCCAAATGCCAAACGAAAAAGCCTGCTTTCTCCTCAGTGGCTGATACTTATAGAAACTTTTTATCGCTAACAGTGTTGAAAACACTTTTTCTCCTCCTTCTCTTCCCAAAACCTCATTTTACATGGACTCTTTTCTGACTACTTCTTAAATACCTAAAGGAGCCATACTTGACACTCATACTCTACAAGCATGCTCTGGAGATCACCATCCACTTCCATACATGATACTGCCTACATTCTTATTATCCTAAATTTAGTCCTCTAGCCACAAACTCTCTCAAAAGCACCCAAGTCACATCTTTTCAACTGCCTAGAAAAAACATCCACCAGCAAGCAACTCAAACTGTAACAGGTCAAAAATCTTCCCCCTGCCCCCGCCCTTCCCCACCAAACCTACTCCTCCTTTCAGGTAACGGCATGACCAGGCACCCAATCTCTCCAGGTAGAAAACTTAGGGTCATCCTTGAATTACCTTTCTTCCTCACACCCCTAGCCTCTTTCATCTATCATCAAATCTCATCCATTTTACTTCATAATCTCTTGAATGTAGCTACCTCTCTGTCCCTTTACTATTAATGTACTTCAGATCTTCATCTCATATGTGAATCATTTCAACAGTTCTCTACTACTAATCTCTCCCTGACTTAGTCTTACTCCACATACCAGGATTATTATCCTAAAATAATTTCAAAATTGAAACAGGATACCGTATTTTTCTCTACCAGACTGGCAAAAACTAAAAAGAAAAATAATACTCTGTATTGGTTAGAGTGTGGGGAAATGAACATTCCCATAAACTCGGTGAGGGGAATATTAAGGCAAAATACCAAGGGAATTTAACCAAACTTGAAGCATGACCAAACTTGCAAATGTGTATACCCTTTGATCTACCAATTCTATTTCCACGAACTTATTCTAGGAAATAAAACAGAATGTACACAAGATCTGTAAGTATATTCTAAAGTTCCCATCAGTATAAGCGAAGGCCAGAACCTTTTTGTTTTTAACATACTATACTATTTGCCTGGAATGTCTTTCTGCCACCCATACCCTCCTACATCCTGTAAAACTAAAATTCATCCTTGATTTCAAAAGGGTCAGCTACTCCATCCGGTCTCCATGGCAGTTTAGTCACACCTCTGAATCACACTACAAACTTTCTCTCCCACAGCAGATCATAAGCTCTCCAGGGATATGGTTTTATGTATGTATGTATTTAGCATACCTCTATATCTATGCTACCTATAACAACGTCTCACACATTAAGGGCCCAATAAACATGTGTTGAATAAAGACATTTTCTTCCTCTTCCCACAAAGAATTCTTTTTCAAAATCTCAAGGAGTTTTCAAAGGAGTTTCAAAATCTCAAAGAAGTTTCCTAAAATGCTGGTGGACTTCAATATATTAATGCTATATTAAATTCCTGTATTAAAACAGGTATTCAAGCAAAGCAAATATTCTTGTAAATTTATAAATAGTGTAAATCCTTTATATTTTAAGTTTAATTCCTTAAGGCATAATAATTTCCATACTGGGTCAGAACCATGGCCTAGCCAACCTAGAATTTTATCTCTGAAAGTAGTACCAACAAATATGTTTTAAGAAGATAACAGCTGCCCTTGCAGATGCTAAGATAAACATTTAAAGGTGTGCTTCAAAATACTTTGCTTTTCTCCAAGTATGAATTCATCATACTTGATAACATGTTTTGAAATCATGCTTCATACTACGAAATCATGTTTCATACTCTTCATGTTATCTGTTATATAGTATTTTACATATTATATAAGTACATAAGTATTACATAAACAGTACTGTGTATCCATATTCAAGAAAATAAGTAGCAGCACAGTGTCTGACACCTGTAATCCCCACACTTTAGGAGGTCAAGGCAGGCAGACTGCCTGAGCTCAGGAATTCGAGACCATACTGGGCAACATGGCAAAACCCCATCTCTACTAAAAATACAAAAAATTTGCTGTGCATGGTGGTGTGCACCTACAATCCCAGCTACTCAGGAGGCTAAGGCACAAGAACCACCTGAACTCAGGAAGCAGACGTTGCAGTGAGCCAAGATCGCGCCACTGCACCTCAGCCTGGGTGACCAAGCAAGACTCTGTCTCCAAAAACAAATAAACAAAAAGAACATAAGCAGCTTGGTTAGACTTTTTCTCCCCGCAAGTTCCTTTTAGGTTTCAAGAGGGTTCATAATTCTAATAAAAGCTGATAAAAGCCTAATCACATCCTTCATGATTCCAAAGTTCAGTCAGTTCTATCCCTTTCAGGGTTGTTTTGTTTTGTTTTGTTTTGTTTTGTTTTGTTTTGTTTTGTTTTGAGGAGTCTTGCTCTGTCGTCCAGGCTAGAGTGCAGTGGCACAATCTTGGCTCACTGTGTCTCAGGTTCAAGTGATTCTCCTACCTCAGCCTCCTGAGCAGCTGGGATTAGAGGCGCCCACCACCACACCCGGCTAACTTTATTTTTAGTAGAGACGGGGTTTCGCCATGTTGGCCAGGCTGATCTCAAACTCCTGACCTCAGGTGATCCACCTGCCTCGGCCTCCCAAAGTGCTGGGATTATAGGGGTGAGCCACCATGCCTGGCCTCAGTCTTTGTCTTTCTAAACTGAAGAAATCTCATTGAACTCTTGTGTCCTTATATAGAAACAACTCTACTCTGCACCATTTCACTTTCTTTTTTTTTTTTCCCTAAGAAAAAGTCTCGCTCTGCCACCCAGGCTGGAGTACAATGGCATAATCTCGGCTTATTGCAACCTCTGCCTGCTGGGTTCAAGTGATTCTCCTGCTTCCTGAATAGCTGGGACTATAGGCATGTGCCACCACACCCGGCTAATTTTTGTATTCTTAGTAGAGATGGGGTTTCACCATGTTGGCCAGGCTGGTCTCGAACTCCTGACCTCAGGTGACCCACCCACCTCGGCCTCCCAAAGTGCTGGGATTACAGGCGTGAGCCACCACACCTGGCCTTACTTAATTTTCAGTTATCTTGTAGCTTCCAAACTAAAACAATAATGTAGGTAGGTCTATGAGATTTACTTTAATTTTATATACATTTAAAATCAAGAAAATTTCACCCCTGATATAAATTAGGAAAGGTAGCCTTCGAAAACACCTTTGACAATCACTGTACCCCAAGACTTACAGGAAATCATAAGGTAGTCCTCGCAGTTGCCTTTGTCATCATCTTGCTGGTCCACAGGGATCCCATTGGCATCTATGACTGCTTCAGACGCACAGTCTGCTACCAATACTTCTTCTGAAACTACATCAGTGGTCAGAGGATCCGTGACAATTTCTGCTTCTACTACACTATCATGAACCACATGTTCAACATGTCCAACATGTCCAACATCAGACACATGTATAGATTCACTCGTCAAGACGTGTTCTGGCACAGACATTGAGGCTGAAGTAATGTCAGAAGCTAAAACATCATCTGGGACGGTGCAATGTGCTAAAGAAACTTCTTCAGTTACATCTGAGTCCAGCACTTGCTCAGGAATGATGACCGTTTCAGATACATCTGCTTCTTCCATGATATCTGGGCACTGAACATCTTCTATAACAACGTCCTCAATAACATCTTGGATTACAACCGAATCTGGGTCATCAGGAACAAAGTTATGCACAGTTATGTCTGAATCCACAACATCTGAAACAAAAACAGTTTCTTGTACTTCCACAACAATCTGATCACCATCCATGTGTGTACCATCAGCTCCTTAAAAAAATAAAAATTAAAATGACAAATTTCAGGTAAGTATGCATGACTGCAATTAATGTAAATGTTACTTAATTTCTACTGGGAAAACAGACTGGCTGCTCAGTTTTCTTAAACATTAACAAAGGTTAAAGAAATAAAGAGAGAATCTATTTTTGAATCATATTAGAAAGATGTTTTTAACACAAGAACTTTTCAATCATCCCAAATCAATGAATAGATTTTTTTAAATTAGGAGAACAAAGGAATTGAGGCAGTCACAGAAGAACTATATTCATGAAAGTAAAATTCTAGGCACACTAATAAAATCCATATACAGCCAGGTGCAACAAATGGCTCACGCCTGTATTCTCAGCACTTGGGAAGCCAAGATGGGCAGATGACTTGAAGCCAGGAGTTTGAGACCAGTCTGGGTAACATTGTGAAACCCCATCTCTATTAAAAATACAAAAATTAGCCTGGGTATGGTGGTGCAAGCCTATCCCAGCTTCTTGGGAGGCTGAAGCAGGAGAACTGCTTGAACCCAGGAGGCGGAGGTTGCAGTGAGCTGAGGTGGTACTGCTGCACTCCGGCCTGGGTGACAGAGCAAGACTCCACTGAAAAGAAAAAATAAAGTCCATATACATAGGTACTTAAGGGAAGATTATAAATATTAAGTAACGCAACTTCAGGTGACAAATATACTATTTTCCCTCAGTATATGTCTTTTACCTTTTTGCTCCACCTCCCTCTCCTCAACTCGTATTTGTTCTTCTTTTCATCTCCCCTATGTGTTTGTTTTACTTCCACTTTTTTTCCTTTCTCCCTTCACATGCTTCCCTTTTTGTTCTGGTGCATTATACCACCAATATGCTCCATGTACAGCTACAGAAATTTAGAAATCATTCTCTGAATCTAGGACATACAAGGATCAGAGGATAAATTAAAAGAGGGACAAAAGGCCACAGTTGAGGAGGAAAGACAACTGGGTTGAGGAGGCTCTGGGGACAAATAGAATAAATACAAGTGCAGCTGTGCTGGGGTGGTGGAGGGTGAGAGTAGTTGCAGCGGGAGCTGCCCCTACTTCAGCAGGGTACACTACCTCCATCTGGCCTCCTTCCGTTCCCCTAGACACCAACTCCCAAGGCAGTCACATAGGAAACCCTACTCTAGTCAGTTTTGCAGTTAAGGAATGAAGGTAGAGGATTCAATCAATTGAAGCCCAGTGAGATTAAATGACTTCACCAAGATCACACAGTTTGCACAGTGTATGGTGTTCAAAAAATATTATTCTGAATGAATGTCACAAATGGAAATAGAAATCATATATCCTTTCCAAAAATATGAGATAAAATAAACAAAATCTCTTGGCTTCTGTTCTAGAGAAAAGTAAAGAAAGTTTTACAAAAGCCTTACCTAAATAGCTATTCACTAGATTAGTGCCTCTGGTTGACTCGGACCAGGCTGTGTCCAACCAGGTGCCTAACTCAATGACTGTGTGTCACTGGACAGGCCCTTAGAGAAACACATAGCTTAATCAACAAACAAAAATGATCAGATCCAGCACAGCGGCTCACGCCTGTAATACCAACACTTTGGGAGGCCAAGTGATGTCAGGGGTTCAAGACCAGCCTGGCCAACATGGTGAAACCCCATCTCTACTAAAAATACAAAAATTAGCCAGGCATGGTGGTACATGCCTATAAACCCAGCTACTCAGGGGGCTGAGTCAGGAGAATCGCTGGAACCCAGAAGGTGGAGGTTGCAGTGAGCCTTGACTATACCACTGCACTCTAGCCTCCATTAAAAAAAAAAAAAAAAGAAAAGAAAAACCAAAGGCTAAAGAATATTAAAAATTATAGAAAGTTAGCCGGGCGCGGTGGCTCAAGCCTGTAATCCCAGCACTTTGGGAGGCCGAGGCGGGTGGATCACGAGGTCGAGAGATTGAGACCATCCTGGTCAACATGGTGAAACCCCGTCTCTACTAAAAATACGAAAAACTAGCTGGGCGTGGTGGCGCGTGCCTGTAATCCCAGCTACTTAGGAGGCTGAGGCAGGAGAATTGCCTGAGCCCAGGAGGCGGAGGTTGCGGTGAGCCGAGATCGCGCCATTGCACTCCAGCCTGGGTAACAAGAGCGAAACTACGTCTCAAAAAAAAAAAAAAAAAAATATATATATATATATATATATATAGAAAGTCAACTAATATCTATTTTAATTACATCTAGAAATAATAAAAAGAATATGTTCACTTTAGGCCAGGCATGATGACTCATGCCTATAATCCCAGCACTTTGGGAGGCTGAGGCAGGGGGATCACCTGAGGTCGGGAGTTCGAGACCAGCCTGACCAACATGGAGAAACCCTGTCTCTACTAAAAATACAAAATTAGCCAGGCATGGTGGCGCATGCCTGTAATCCCAGCTACTTGGGAGCCTGAGGCAAGAGAATTCCTTGAACACGGGAGGCAAAGGTTGCAGTGAGCTGAGATCACGCCATTGCACTCCAGCCTGGGCAACAAGAGCAAAACTCCATCTCAAAAAAAAAAAAAGAATACGTTCACTTTCATTTCAACAGAACTTTTACAAAATGCTTATATTTGTTTTCAATGTTATCATTAGGCAATAAAGCACTAATTTCCATTTTGCATACATAAAGATAAAAACATTTAGTGGCAAGGGCACTGGTTACAAAATGTAAATCAGCTGGGGACGGTGGCTCACACCTGTAATCCCAGCACTGTGGGAGGCTGAGGCAGGCGGATCATTTGAGGTCAGGAGCTCCAGACCAGTTTGGCCAACATGGCAAAATGCTACCTCTACTAAAAATACAAAAATTAGTCATGCATGGTGATCTGCACCAGTAATCTCAGCTAATCGGGAGGCTGAGACAGGAGAATCACTTGAACCAGGGAGGTGGAGGTTGCAGTGAGCAGAGATCGCAGCCACTGCACTCCAGTCTGGGCGACAGAGTGAGACTCCATCTCAAAAACAAAACAAAACAAAACAAAACCCATAATCTAAATTGGAGAGTACAGCAGGGTAGGAGACTTATTAGTTTTGTGACCTTGGGCAAGTCATTCAACCTCTGAGTTTCAGTTTCCTCATCAGTAAAATGAGGACAGTAGTATCTGCCATGCATACCTCACAGGACTGTGGTGATGATCAAATGGGAATGTATAGGAAGTGTTCTGAAAAACTGTAATGAGAGGTTTCATTATTATTATGACATATGAAAACAGAGGCCCTGGCAGATTAAGTGACTTGCTCAAAGATAAATACCATAAGTGTTATTAATCAAGACTAAAATGCAATACCTTTCAATCTACCACTTAGCCCACGACCTAGGCTTGCCTGTGGCGAGATTAAGTGAACAAACACTGCACGTTTTTCTCCAAAGAGTTTAGTCCCTCCTTCAAGTATATTAATTATATTTCATGCTCCAAGGAAGAAAGAATTACAAACTTTATGTTTATCATTATCAAATTGAAATTGCCAAACCTGAGTTAAAAGACTATCCCAAGTTGTTAAGAAACACACACACACATCCCCACTGGATTTAGAGACTAAAGAAAATTTTAAAATTTGGTCAAGCACAGTGGCTCACACCTGTAATCTCAGCACTATGGGAGGCCAAGGCGAGAGGATCACTTGAGTCCAGGAGTTCCAGACCAGCCTGGGCAACATAGTAGGACCCCCATCTCCACAAAATAAAATTAGCTGGGCTTGATAGCACACACCTGTAGTCCGAGCTACTTGGAAGGCTGAGATAGGTGGATCTCTTGAGCACAGGAGTTTGAGGTTACAATGAACTACGATCATGCCATCGTGCTCTAGCCTAGGCAATAGGGTGAGACCCTGTCTCTAGAAGAAAAATAAAATAATAAAAAGAAAATTTAAAAATTTTAAATCACTGACATTTAATTTCATGATAAAGTTCATTGCTATTCCATAAATATACTACAATCTGATCATTTACAGTCCAATGGAAAACTTAACATTTTATTTTTAATAAGGGTAGCTACCTGGTGTGACATAAAACCCTTTTATATTTTTTTTCCTTTTTTTCTCTTTCAAGACAGAGTCTTGCTCTATTACCCAGACTGGAGTGCAGTGGCACAATCTCAGCTCACTGCAACATCTGCCTCCCAGGTTCAAGCAATTCTCGTGCCTCAGCCTCCCAAGTAGCGGGGATTACAGGTGTGCACCACCATGCCTGTCTCTACTACAAACACAAATTTTTTTGTATTTGTAGTAGAGACAGGGTTTCAGTATGTTGGCCAGGTTGGTCTTGAACTCCTAGCCTCAAGTGATCCACCCACTGCGGCCTCCCAAAGTGCCGGTATTACAGGCATGAGCCACCTCGTCTAGCCTCAAAACCCTTTTATATTATAAAACCAAGTATAGGCCAAGCATGGTAGCTCACGCCTATAATCCCAATACTTACATAAGAAGCTGAGGCAGGCAGATCACATGAGCCCAGGGGTTCAAGACCAGCCTGGGCAACATGGCAAAACCCCATTTCTACCCCCCCAAAAAAAAAATTAGCAGGCATCGTGGCACACACCTGTAGCCCTAGTTACTCGGGAAGCTGAGCAGATCACTTGAGCCTGGGAGGCAGAGGTTGCAGTGGGCCAAGATGGCGCCACTGTGCTCCAGCCTAGGTGACAGAACAAGACCCTATCTGAAAACTAACAAACAAAAAAACCCAAAACACAAGTGTAATCACTTTGCAACGTTATATAATTATAACCATGGGTAATCTGAAATATATTTTTTCTAATACTTTTTTTTTTCCTATTTTTTTTAGAACTTTCTGAGTATAATTTTCCTTGTACACTCTGGGGAGTGAAGACTCCATCCTCCTGAAACAGAAGTCTCCTTTTGGGAACTTGTAAGAGAGAGGGTTATAAAAATAGGACAGTGTCAATGTGGGAGACCTTCTTTATCTGCTGGGTATTGGAGAACAGAGAAATGACAGGATCCACATGTTATTTTACAATGAGTACTCTGATCAGCAGGCTAGATAAGAGAGACTAAGAGTAAGAAAAATAATGCAAACGTTATTCCAGACTAAGTATGAGACAATAGAGCCTGTCTATGTGGTAGGCACTAGGATGAAGAAGAGCAGATGTAAACAAAGAATATTTTTTCTTTTTCCTTTTTTAAACAAAGGTCCAAACAAAGCTAACAAGCAATATTTTTAAAGGGAGAACCAACAGGAATTCAGAACATAACTGGGTAAGATATTATCTTCATAACTGAAGATAAAACTAAGGTTTTGATATCACTGCTGTCACTGACAAGAATATGAGTTGGTTCTGAGGAGCCACCTCTTTGAGGAGTGTAATAATAATATGCTCACTGTAACATTTATGAATTTTGACAGGATAACAAGATAACCTAAGTGTGAATTATCAATGTTAGACTTCTAGCAATTTGTTGAGGTGATAACCAATTCCAAATCTGGTAGATGGGAAATGGAACAATTCAAGCAGTTATACCTGTTGCATCAAAAAATGAGTTTGGCTCTTGTGGTTGTAATTCAAGCCCATCTTCATCCATGGCCTTTAATTCTCATCAGTCACAGCTCCTAAATCAGGGGAAAAGGTAAACCAAAACCATTAGTTTTTTTACATCATGTATTAAAATGTCACCATGATAGTTTTATTTCTGAGACACTCAAATTCTGTGAAAGATCAATGTGTATAAAAAACGTATCTAATGTAAAAGAGAACTTAAGTGATTTACAATGGTATATGGGCATCTATATGACAAGGCAGGGCAGATAAATCAAACAAATCAACTTTGCCTGGACTTCTTTTTAAGTTGAAGTAATCAATGTTTTGCTTACGTCCATCAAGTGAGCGTATCTTGATGAATTCTGATACATACATAAATCTTTGTAATCACTACTCTGAACAAAATATACAACATTTTTAGGACCCCAACACTCTTATCTCCTCAGTCTGTAACACCCTATGTTCCCAAAAGGGTAACCAGTTTTGTTAAGGTTCAACCTAAAACACATTCTATAGCTTACTGTGGGAAATGTTTGTACAATTTTCATATTCTCTAAATTTAATGAGAGAATATGAAAATTCTCTACTAACTTCCAACCATCTACTAACTTCCAACCAGTAGATTGAACAATGGCAAAAATTCAAAGTGCATAACTGTAATAAACCACCTTTGGGATTCTGCCTAACCTCTCTTAACTAACCCTCTCATCTAAAGAAGTAAATTCCCACAGTGTATTTATACTCTCCTGGCCACAGCTGATTGGCACTAGCTATAAAGTGGTAAAGTAAGTTCATCTTTAAGCACAATAAAATCAAAGTCCTATCCCTGAGAATCAAAAACCATGAGCAAGAATCAGTCCCTTCCCCTTCCTCCCTCCCAGTGGCTGGAACATAAGAGCTGAGGAAAGTCATTTTGCAACTCTGGCTTAGACTAGTAAATAAAAAACAAAAAGAATCCTGTGAGTGCTTTGAGTAACAGAATAGAGTAAGCAGGGAGGGGAGACAGCTTTTTAGCTCCTGGTTCTAGATCTATCTTGAGGTCCAGCTATAACCCTGCCTTCAATTTTTATAAGACATTCCAATGGCCTTAATTCTCCCTTTTCTACTTAAGTCAAAAATTTATGACAAAAAGAACCCTAACCAATGATTTCGGCTTTACCATTTTTTTGCTAATTGTATTAAGTACTACATGCTTATTAAAATTTCAAATAACAGAAACAAGTCATTTTTCTAAAGCTAGGTGACATCATTCCTCTGTTCAAAAATGTTTAATAACTCCCTGCTCCCACTACATAAAGTTCAAACACCTGTGTCATCTTCTAAGTTCTAGCCCCAAACTACCTTCCTACTATCATCTCCCCTAACTTTCCTTCAAGCACTTCCCTCTACTACCCTTGGCATGTACATAAACACATGTTCCCCACCCACACACAGTTCAGCCAAACAAAAATAATGCTCAACATCCCCATAAAACCCCAACTTTATATTTGATTCAGGGTTCCTTCTACCTGGAACACCTTTCCCCCATTATCTCTGCTTTAATCTTTCCCCCTAAATCTCCTTTCCCACAAAAAAAGAGAAAGCTGGAAATAATTTCTCCCTCTGCAATTTCCACAGCACTCTATTCTTCTCTTGACTGTACTGGTTTGTCATATTATGATTATTTATATATGTCTTATTTGCAGATACTAAATTACATATATATAGTCCTTAAAAAACTCATTAACATAGCATAGTAATAGAAATATCCATTAAATGTAACTGAGAAAATTTACATTCATTAAATGGATTCTCAACATATCAACTCTGAGATATATTCTATTCTTTTTTTTTTTTTGAGACGGAGTTTCACTCTTGTTACCCAGGCTGGAGTGCAATGGCGCGATCTCGGTTCACCGCAACCTCCGCCTCCTGGGTTCAGGCAATTCTCCTGCCTCAGCCTCCCGAGTAGCTGGGATTACAGGCACACGCCACCATGCCCAGCTAATTTTTTGTATTTTTAGTAGAGACGGGGTTTCACCATGTTGACCAGGATGGTCTCGATCTCTCGACCTCGTGATCCGCCCGCCTCGGCCTCCCAAAGTGCTGGGATTACAGGCTTGAGCCACCGCGCCCGGCATATTCTATTCATTTTTAAGAGATAGCATGTTTCATGTTATTTGTTCAGACTGTTTCAAATTAAAGTAAATGGGCTAGGTGCAGTGGTTCACACCTGTAATCCCAGCACTGTGGGAGGCCAAGGTGGGCGGATCACCTGAGGTCAGGCATTGGAGACCAGCCTGGCCAACATGGCGAAATCTCTCCTCTACCAAAAATACAAAAAAATTAGTGGGGCATGGTGGCACATGCCTGTGATCCCAGCTACGCGGGAGGCTGAGGCAAGAGAATTGCTTGAACCTGGGAGGTAGAGTGAGCTGAGATTGTGCCACTGCACTCCAGCCTGGGTGACAGAGCAAGACTCTGCCTCCAAAAAAAAAAACAACAACAACAAACTTCTAAGCATTATGAAACACTATGACATTAAGCCAATTAAGAAGGCAATAAAGGGGATTCATTATAAGCCCTTAACCATACAAATTTCCCTACATAAACCCAATCCTCTACGAATTCTCAACCTGCAAAACAACTTTTCTTGACATTTATCCTCCTTGGCATTTCTATTATTAGAATTTAGCAGACAATCAACTCCCTGATTTTTGAAGTGCTCTCTTTTCTCTACTGCTTTAAGTGACTTCTAATTCTCTTTCCCCCTGCTGGCTGCTCTGCCTCCCCTCACCCCTTACTACTGTTCTGCCCAGGGTTGTGTGCTCAATCCTCTCTTCTGTTTTTTCTTTATTCCCATGGTTTCAACTACTACTTCCGCAACGATGATTCCCAAAATCATCCTAACATGTCCAACAGACTATTGAATATTTTCATCTGGACAAACCCCAGCCTTCTCCTGATATGACCATTATGGCCTTTTCCTTCTTCCCTCCTCATAGTCAGATTGCCAGATTTTGTCAACTCTCCTCAATTTCTCAAGAATCCAACTCCGTTTATTTATTTATTTATTTATTTATTTATTTATTTATTTAGAAACAGAGTCTCACTCCCAGGCTGCTAGAGTGCAATGGCGTGATCTCAGCTCTCTGCAACCTCTGCCTTCTGGGTTCATGTGATTTTCCTGCCTCAGCCTCCTGAGTAGCTGGGATTACAGGGGCCTGCCACTGTGCCTGGCTAATTTTTGCACTTTTAGTAGAGGTAAGGTTTCACCATCTTGACCAGGCTGGTCTTGAACTCCTGATCTCATGATCCACCTGCCTTGGCCTCTCAGAGTGCTGGGATTTCAGGTGTGAGTTACCACGCCTGGGCGCCTGGTCCTCATTTTTTTTTTTTTTTTTTTTTTTTTTTTGAGTCCTGGTCACCATTCCCACTCAGCTTCCTATTTCCTGATCTCAGGGGGTTGAAGATAGCCTCTGGACTGGCCTTGCTCCTTTCTGCCACTCCCACAACAAATGACTAGAAGCCCTATTACACATAAGGGCTGGTGCCAAGTACTAAGGCATTTCTGCAATCTGTGGGCAGATTAACCTTCCTGAAGCACTGCTTTGATCATAGCACTCCCCTGCTCTGAACACTTCAGCAGTTCTTCAATACTCAGGCACTCTACAATATTAACCCAAGCTACCCTAACAGACTGATTTGCTTTCTTCCCACCCTTTTACATCATGTGCATTTCCTAACATATTCTGGCCTACATGGGAATGCCCACTCTTCTCATCTTGACTTTAAGTGAGCTGTAATTACTCAGCAAACTATTGTTTTGCCTGGTCATTTTCCCTTCTGTCATTAGAAAAATTCAAACATTCTAAATAGAGATGACTATACCTCGACCTCATAACCCCTCTCGAGTTAGAACTACTAATTCCCTTTGACAATCAGAATGAAACTGTGTTCTCAGAACAGAACCTACTCAGAGGAATTCTCAGATGTGATAAAGAGTGGAAGAAGATGTGTGATAAAGTAACTAGTAGTGTCCACGCCTCTGTAGTACAAACCAAGCCCAGAGATCAGTTGAATCTGAAGACAAATAAGCAGGATGGTTCAGAGAACCAAGAATCTCAGAATTTGGGTGAAGAAGTACTAACATTTAGTGTTACTATCAAATGCCCTCAAAGTATTTCTGGGATTCTACTGACATCTCGAAACTCAGCAAGATACTCCCTTGTCGGTTACAAGAACCATGATCCCAAAAATGCTTCTGAAATAATTCACAATGGAAAAACACCAGTTTTTGGGAACAGATTGTGAGGACAGAAAGTTTAAATAAATAAATAAAAGAAAAACGTATAGTTTTAAGAGAAATAATGGGCTGGGAGAACCCAGGAAATTCATAAAAATTTCCTTCCACTGTTTGAAATAAAACATTATCATCCTAGAAGGAGGTAATCATAAATAAAAAATATAATAAAGCAATAAAAGTTAACAGGTATAGCAATGGCATTTTCTCTATCTTAATTAGGGATCGTGGATATAATTTATTTGTTTTATATCTTTGGATGCTTAGATACTTCCATGATCTCCCTCTTGGGCAAGTTAACGGGATTCTTACATATTCACTTCGCTTTTTGCAGCTAATATGCATACAAAAATCACTTTTCTGCTTTTGGTCTCTCAAAACCTCAATGCCTGTTAATTCTATGACTCGACTCTAATTCTTCTCACTAAGTCATGCTCAAACAACAAAATTTTATTATACATGGTAGAAGGAATTCTTACGCTGCAGGAAAGGCAAACAACAGGCAAAACTGTCTATAACAATTCTTCTTGGATGGAAATTAGAACTGGTGAAAACTTACATTTAAAGCCTAATTAATATCTTCTCTCTTAAGCTACATTTCTTTCCTAATTTTCCCCCCATGTTGTTCACTATTAGCCATTTCTCCAAATATCTCATTTTCAAATCTGGAGTCATAATTCATTTATCTACTACACTGGCCCTTAAATTCATCTTGAAGCCAGTAACTCTTAAATTTATCACTTCCTCTTTATTCTCACGGCTACCACTCTAACAAGTTCTCCTCTTCTC